CCCAAGGTCTGCGTAAGGGAGCCTGCTTTGTCCTGGAACGGTTGGGGTTCACTGCTGATGCGTTAGAGAGGTTTAAGCTGAGGACTGTAGGTGATGGCCAGTGGAGTTCTGTTGGTTTCTTTCTTGGTCCTGTCTTGTAGCAGGAGGCTTCTGGGTACACGTCTGGCTCTGTTGATTTGTTTCCTTATTTCCTCGTGCGGGTATCGTAGTTTTGAGAATGCTTGGTGAAGATCTTGTAGGTGTTTGTCTCTGTCTGAGGGGTTGGAGCAAATGCAGTTGTACCTCAGCGCTTCGCTGTAGATGATGGATCGTGTGGTGTGTCCGGTGTGGAAGCTGGAGGCATGAAGGTAGGCATAGCGGTCGGTGGGTTTTCGGTGTGGGTGGTGTTAACGTGACCATCACTTATTTGTAGTGTGGTGTCTAGGAAGTGGACCTCCCATGTAGATTGGTCCAGGCTGAGGTTGATGGTGGGGTGGAAGCTGTTGAAAGCATGGTGGAATTCTTCCAGAGTCTCCTTCCCATGGGTCCAGATGATGAAGATGTCGTCAATGTAGCGTAGGTAGAGAAGGGGCGTGAGTGGACGAGAGCTGAGGAAGCGTTGTTCCGGGTCAGCCATAAAAATGTTGGCATATTGTGGAGCCATACGGGTACCCATAGCGGTGCCACTGGTCTGGAGGTATATATTGTCACCAAATTTGAAATAATTGTGTGTGAGGATAAAGTCACAGAGCTCAGCAACAAGTTGTGCTGTGTCATCATCAGGGATACTGTTCCTGACAGATTGTATCCCATCTGTGTGTGGGATGTTTGTGTAGAGAGCCTCCACATCCATGGTGGCTAGGATGGTGTTTTCTGGGAGATCACCAATGCATTGTAGTTTTCTCAGGAAATCAGTGGTGTCACGGAGATAGCTGGGAGTGCTGGTGGCATAGAGTCTGAGTAGAGAGTCCACATATCCGGATACTCCTTCAGTGAGAGTGCCAATTCCAGAGATGATGGGACATCCAGGATTTCCAGGTTTGCGGATCTTGGGTAGTAGATAGAATAACCCCGGTCGGGGCTCTAAGGATATGTTGATTTGTTCCTGTGTTAGTGTAGGGAGTGTCCTGAGTAGATGGTGCAGTTTCTTAGTATATTCCTCAGTGGGATCTGAAGAAAGTGGCCTGTAGAATTTGGTATTGGAGAGTTGTCTGGCAGCCTCCTTCTGGTAGACTCCTGAGGGTCAAAATGACAGTCTGGATCTATACATAGAATGCTTCCGCCGACGCGCACAGGCAGAAATTGTGGAAAAACCACATCACTTGCCTCATAACCTCAGTCATGCAGAACGCAATGCCATCCACAGCCTCAAAAACAACCCTGACATTATAATCAAAGAGGCTGATAAAGGAGGCGCTGTTGTCATCATGAACTGGTCTGACTACCAGAAGTCAAGCAAATCATTATTTATTGGGTGATTGTGAAACAATAACTCCATGATCCAAGGACTTTATTCAGTGACAGACCTGGAAACATAGAAATTACAGAGCCAGCCACATTGATTGGCATAAGGCAGCTGTCTCTGCTACAGCCAGAAATATCACACCAAGACAAAGTGTTCCTGCAATGCACATCCCATACGGCCCCCTCCAGTGCACAGGGCTCCTCATCGGCGGGTGGCTGGAAAACATGCTCCATAGCTTGGAAATTAAGGCGCTTTCTGAGGTGCTGGGATCTGCATATCACAGCCCAGCTGGTCCATGGGCCTGCTTACAGATCCACCTGAAATGCCGAGTGCACTTGTTATCATTCCACAAATTCCGTTTGGATGGCTCGGTATGAACACAGTCGTAATTGTTTGGCACATTCGGCGCCCAGAACCTACAGATCAAAGAGGTTATTTGTCTCAGGGGAGAACCACAGCCAATTCCTGAGCTCAGTTCTGCTCTGTGGACTCTGTGGTTGGCAGGGGACCAAGACACCCAGCAATGACGCGGTGAATTGATCCACCCCCCGGCCACCCCTCGGAGTTCTCTACAGCTCTTGTGGCCATGGTAACGAAGGGCTTCTGACGGCTGGGGGTAGCACCTGCCCTGCGCCTGACAGGCCAGCAAAGAGCCCAAGTCAGTCTGTGGCTCCAAATGCTGATAGCAGCAACTCCGATCTCAGTGCCCAGAACCAAAGCACGTGGCACAGCACGTCCCAGGCACCCCCGAGATGGGAACGCAGGAACAGGAAGAGAGGGCAGCGGGGGTCAGTCATTAACTTCTCCAGGGCCCTGCTTATGGGCCTCGTCCACAGCCCACTGAGGTCACTGCCCCGACTGCAGCTGGCTCCGGCCATGCCCCCGCCCCACAGCCTCCCCTTCCCCAGCCTGACAGAGGGGAGAGCGCAGTGCAATCCCAAGGAGAGCGTGAACCTGCCGCTCACTCCAGACTCACCTGGCTGTACTGAGTTGACTTGGGGCCAGATCCTCAGCTGGTGTAAATCCCTGTGGTTCATTCAAGTCAATGCTGAGTTACCCCAGGGGAGGCTCTGGCCCTGGGTCTCAGTGGCACTGAACACACGTTCCGTGTTTAGGCTCCTGCTCTGAACAAAGGGGCATTAGCAGAAATTCCTGAGAGGATTCATTGCTGTTGTGGCAGCGCCCGGGGGCCTCCCTCAGGATCGGGCCCGCTGTGCCGGGTGCTGCATAGACACCAGGGGCCGTACAGACGCTGCCCGAAGGAGCTTGTGAGCAAACGTGTAATAAATAATCACTTCTCTCAAGCTTTACTCACCCCCTGCTTGCGTCTGCTCTGTATTCTGTGCCATCCACCCAGCGCCAGCTGCCTTCTGTCCCCCGGTTGGTGAGTCCAATCCAGCGACCTTTTCCCTGGGTCTCGTTGGAGAGAAACTCCTGCACAACACAGTTTGCAGCATGTCCAGGTCACCCAAGAGAGGCTGCAGGATGCAGCCGCAGCTGCCTGGGCTGAACAGATTTGGGGGGAGAGGAAAGGGCGTCTGGTGATGTGAGCTGGGCACTGGGCAGCAGGAGACATGGTGTCCTGCCCCCAACGCTGACAGTGACTAGCTGGGAGACCCTGAGGGAGTCCTGGAGCATCTCTGTGTCTGTCTCTGCATCTGTATCTGCCTGGGGCTACCAGCAGCGACCTGTCTCAGAACACTCCCCCCACAGCCCCTCAGCGCTGGGCTGCGGCAGTGACTGACGGGCACCTCAGAGTTCACACCAGCGCCCTGCCCTTGGAGGAGGAAAAGCTCGGAGCAGAGAACTGGGTGCAAAGTCTAGTCCTGCCGGAGGGTGGGATTTTCCTCCTCACAGAGTGCCGCAGAGGCTTGGGGTGAGGGCTACAGTGGGCACGTGGGGAGAGAGGATTCTCTGAGAGGTGCATGGCCCCTTGCACACAAGCCCTCCAGATAGAGGTTTCTAGATTGTCCAGCAGGAGCTCAGGCCTGGGGAGAGGGATCAAAGCGCGTCGTCCCTGGGCAAGGTCATTGGGTTTGCAGGAAATGCTACACTGGAAGTAGGGAAAATCAGAAATGAGCCTGACCCCAAATCCCCCTCCCCCGACACCCCAGACTCTAGGAAGTCCAGATCCTGGCACTGTTCCTCTGCCCATCTCTGATTTTAAACTGATGGGTGAATCCCCTGAGTCACGTTCCAAGGCTTGGCATCCTCTCCGATGGTTTCCAAACTCAGCTACCGCCTTCCACCTCCTTCTGGTATGAAACAAGGCACTGATCCATTGTCCAAGCCCCTAGGAGCTTCCTGCACTCACCTGTTCTGCCTGGGAGGAGACAGATGTCAGGTGCGAGTCCTGAGACACACACAATCGCTCGGCCTCGTCCCATGACTTTTTTTCTTGTGAAAAGTAATAGAAGTTCCCACCGTAAAACCTCCAGCCCCTGGGGAGCTTTGTCAGCACTTCACCTAGGAGCAGAGACTGAGGTGAGATGCCTGGGCGAAAGTCACAGGGACACACGCAGGGAGCTCAGGGTTTCTAGTGCTGCATTTCCCCTGCCCTTCAGCTGCCCCAAGCTCAGGGAACTTCTGAATCCTGATACTCCAGCATCACAATAAGTAACTTTTGTGGCCACATGATGGATCCCAAAGAGCGCTGCAGAAAGCAGACACCACGGGGTCACTCTCCCAGCACTGAAATGCAGCTGCATCTGGGCTGGAGCATGGGCGATGGTCCCAGTGCAGAGCAGCACGGCTGTAATGGGAACGGGGGGACTCACTATTC